TGGACCTCAAGCAGAAGGGACATGAAATAATTTGGTTTTAGTATTTATTGATTACATTTCCTCCCATGTGTCCATTAAATCAATGGTGAAAAATAATAACGGCTGAATTCTGGAGATAGTTTTCATAATAGCTCAGAGAAAACAAATGTGATTTCTTGTGGAAAAAGATTTACTTTACCAAAAAATTTTTCGGTTAAAACATACGATTTGATTTGCAGAAATCTGATTTCAAATAACATCTCTAAGAAGGAATCTTCTGGTTTTATTAGGAGGAAAGAAGACCACTAAAAAAACGGCGCCGCGAACAGCTCCCCCTTTCTGTCATGGCAGCGCTACCGATGGCCGGGACGCCGACATGCAGTTGTGCCCACTCAGGTCATAAAGGAGAGACACAGGTTCTCTATGTGGATATTACTTACTTATTATGAAGCGACATGAGAAAGTAAGGAAGAACAAGCCGTGCTCTCCACAGCCACAAGCAACTCAGAAGGTCCTGGAAGGTCTACGAGGAAACGCACCCCAGGGAGAGTAGAGTGGAGTTCCCCAGTTGTCAAGGCACCCACTGCTTACCCAGGGTGACTCGGTCATGTGTTTGGCTCAGTTTAACTCCGTCTTTGCCTCTCTTGGGGCAGTGAACAGAGTGGTTAAGAACACGGGCTCTGGAGCCCTCGCTGCCTGGGTTCGAATCCAGGCCTTGCCTCTGAGACACTCAGGCAAAGCTCTCATCAGGTCTCATCCTCTTCAGCACGTATCTGTCTGGTGGCCCGCTCCCAGCCATCACCTTATAGGCCACAGGACAAACTAGACAGCTCCTTTAGACGGACACGAATCCTTTGTTGGGTTAGTCATGTGATAGTAAGTATGGTTCCTATGTGTGAAGAGCCACCGTCACTGCCTTTCTCCGAAGGGCGCAGGGCAGATACTCAGAGAACCCTGGCTGCCACCTGCCTCTCAAGAGGCACACGCCAGACCCAGAGTTAATTAATAAAGGAACTGAGCTAAGCTACGTAATAATAATCGTATATGACAATAAAACGCAGGACATAATAATACATAAGACAATATTATACATATTTATATATTCATGCTACATTTTTGATAGAACATATTTTCTATATTTACATTATATATAATCACTCTCTATATAATACATATAAGATATAAAATATGATATATAAATATATATATAATAAAGTAATTTAGTTAACTAAGCAATATACAATACAGTTAAGTATATGTTTAGAAAGAAACAGAATACTTGTTAAATGTTCCACAGTGGTCTAACTTCTGTTGAGACTATCACCAACACAGTTCATGATTAACTATAAGAGAATAATCTCAGGAAACAAACTGAGGGTTGTTGGAGTGGTGGGGGGTGGGAGGGATGGGGTGGCTGGGTGATAGACATTGGGGAGGGTATGTGCTTTGGTGAGCGCTGTGAATTGTGTTAAGACTGATGAATCACAGACCTGTACCTCTGAAACAAATAATCCATATATGTATTTTTTTAAAAAAAGAAGATAGTAGGAAGGGAAAAATGAAGCGCGCCGAATCAGAGGGGGAGACGAACCATGAGAGACTATAGACTCTGAAAAACAAACTGAGGGTTTTAGAGGGGAGGGTATGGGGGGATGGATTAGCCTGGTGATGGGTATTAAAGAGGGCACGTTCTGCATGGAGCACTGGGTGTTATACGCAAACAATGAATCATGGAACACTACATCAAAAACTAATGAGATAATGTATGGTGATTAACATAACATAATAAAATAAAATAAAATAAAAAAACAAACAAAAAACAAAAAAGAGAATACCTGCTTTCTATATAGACTCTACTTATTAATAATACAGGCATCCCCCTTCTCAACAGGGGATACCTTCCAAGACCCCCAGTGGATGCCTGAAACTGAGAATAGTACAGAACCCTACATATACTATATTTTTTCTTATATACACGTGTCTCTGGTAAAGTTTAATTTATGAGTTGGGCACAGTAAGAGATTGGAACAATTATAACACTATACTGTAATAGAAGTTATGTGAAAGTAGTGTCTGTCTCTCAAGATATTTGATTGTTCAGCACTCACCCTTCTTCTTATGATGATGTGAGATGATAAAATGGCGAGGAGAGGTAAGGAGGTGTGCGGAATGACCCCAGCGCCCTGAAGCATGGTCAGGTGACCACTGATGTTCTGATGCGTCAGAAGGAGGAGCACCTGCTTCTGGACTAATTGATGGCCAGGTAACTGAGACCACGGAAAGTGAAAATGTGGATAAGGTGAGACTACGGGAATCTTACATGTGGCACCACTGGCATGCTAGTATTATTTCTTTAAAAAAATTGTTAATACAAAATTTCTATTTTATTTTATTTTTTAAAAGATTTTATTTATTTGAGAGAGAGAGAGAATGAGAGAGAGAGAGCATGAGAGGGGGGAGGGTTAGAGGGAGAAACAGACTCCTTGCTGAGCAGGGAGCCCGATGCGGGACTCGATCCCGGGACTCTGGGATCATGACCTGAGCCGAAGGCAGTGGCTTAACGAACTGAGCCACCCAGGTGCCCCAAAATTTCTATTTTAACAAGCCAAATTAAGAAATGTCATAGAATTGGTTATGTCTACTGGACAGTAAAAATTAATTAAAATTTTTTTCATGAAAAATGTCCAACATCACAAATGAGATAATGCAATACCCTGCCCATCCTCCCCCTCTGTGTACCCACCCAGCGTCGGCAATTGTCAGTGTTTGACAGTCATATTTTCATTTATCTTTTTGCTGAGAGATGAAAGTGAAATTCTCAGGTACAAAAAGAATACAAATGCTATGTCCTAGCTTCAAGAGAGGGAGTGCCATACTTCTCTATTGTACAAATTTCCTTTATAGCACACTTCTCTTTCTACTTCCCTAGTCAGTACCCAAATGCTGTTGGTGGCCATGGAAATGCCTCTTATGATGGCCTCAAATAGAATAATCTCTTCTATTTTTCTCCCTGCCTCCAAACAAGGAAATGGTAACTCAAGTCCACAGACCTCTAGGGATTCCACAGATCTGCTTTAAGCCAGTCCGTGAAATCCCAGAAAATGTATGCAAATCTTTTTACATTTGCTTTTTATATAGGAGAGTTCCAAAGCTTCTCTCAGATTTTTATATGCGCCTACAAAATGTTAAGAACCTCTGTCTCTGCCATATCTCAAAAACATAGTAAACAGACTTTCTTACTTCCATTCCTTAGCCGATTCTCCGTATCAAGATCCTGCACCTGTCACCACCTCCAGGATGCCTTCCCTGACCACATCACCTATAACTGATTTCCCTCATGCTTTCCTGAAGAATTTAAAACAGCCCACTTTTGTATTTATCACAGTCTGTTGAGACCCCATTCACTTGACAAATATTTATTAGGCATCTATTATGTGCAAGTCACTACACTAATTGAGGTACGCCTTGTTGCCTGCTACACTGTTAGAAAATGGCAAGGAACATCACAGTATCCAGTATATATCTTGCACCCAAGGACATACTGCATTTGTAGCTCCATTGAATAGAAAGAAAAATGAGCAGTGGCACTTCAGTGGGCTGGCAACCAGCTCAAGAAGAACATGTAAAATCAGGCTCATGATTTTTTGTTTCCCCTTTTAAATGCAAAAGGCAGAGTTCCATAGAAAAAGGAAATGTCAATTTGATTATCCTGGGCATGGTGATAAAGATGCCCAAGCAAAGGTTCCCTTCCCTACCCCAATATACTGTTGCGCTAGCAAATTATTTCAGAATCACAAACTATGTATGCTGATCTTCACCCGCCTTCCTAGTAGCATCTTAAATACACCAGTGTCTATGCGAGCCCTATAGTAGGGTCCCCACAAAAAACCACGCCTGGAAAACAGCTCAACATGAAGTTCCCTCTCTCCTGCTTGGCATCAGGAACATCAAATTCATACACACAGGGCAACAGAGCAATTACTGGGCACGTGCATTTTTTTTTTTAAAGTACACAGGCCTCTGATGATTAGTGAGTTGTCTACAATAGGGGTTGATGATTATCACGCTAAGGACCTGGCAGAAAGTAGTTAAACCCTATTGTTACAGAAGCAAGAGGGTGGTGGTGGGGGGGTGGGGGTGGGGAGTTGGGGAGGCAATGTGTCCGATTTTAGCACAAACTTCTTAATCCCTTTGATTTTCGATTATCCCATACACCCGGTGGGCTCATCCCCCGTGGAAGTAGGGGGTTGCAAGAATCCAACGAGAAAAGACGCGCTAAAGCGTCACGTTGTTGTCATCCCAGGTACTGCGTTGCTGTGCTCCCGGCCGGCCAGGTGCACTCGCCCCAGCGGTGTCCTCTCCCACACAGGACGGGCCACGCCGGGAAAGACGGATGAGAAGAGCCTGGGAAGAAGGCAGGAAGGTCACCCCCATCCCCAGGCCGGGCGCGAGCCGCAGAGCCTCCCTTCCCGAGCACGTTCGGGCGGGGCGTTCCCAGGGCCCCGGGCGGGGAGGCGACACTCCCCCCGCTCCGCGCCGCGCCCGCCGCCCCTCCGAGGCCGTCAGCCCTCCCGGCCTGGAGGCGCCGCGGGCCTCGATCCCCTGACTGCCGGAGCCCAAGCGCCGCCTCCGGAGAGGTGAGGGCGGGCCGGGGAGGCGGGGATGGCGGTGGAGGCGGGGATGGCGGTGGGGGCGGGGAATCGCGCGCCCGGGGCCGCCGGCGGTC